GTACAATTACCCGACCAGGCTGAGCCCACAACTCTATGGCCAACATGCACGTGGTCAGATGTGACTGCAAATTACGCAGGCAATTTTTTCCGGGCCGAAGGGGAGGGTAGCCTAGCGTTTGGTACGGGTGCTCAGGCACAGAGTGGGCCCCGACTGTCGGCCGTATACAGCAATCATAACGTGGGCATGAATTTTAATATCAATATTACGGCTGGTGTTTGGAGTGACTATATCTATACCGGCGCCGATAATAAAGACCATAATGTTAATTCATTAAGGTTTTTTGAAGTGCTCGATGAAGTGCGCCCACGTAATCAAGCCGTGCGCATATTTAAACGTACAATGTAGATTATATTTACAATGTTTATTGGTTGATTTAATAAAGGTATTTGCTTTGTCTTATTGTAAACTAATTATAATTATTTGTTATTTTCAATTATTAAGTAATAGATATTTATATAAGATAAATTAATAAAATATTATGCTGTTAAATAATAACTCAATTTATTAAATGGTTGTTATTAATAAGTTATGATTTAATGCCAAAATACAATACTTAATTATCAATTGAATAAAAATTAATGTTTTAATAAAAATAAACAACAAATATATTATCAATATAATTCTATAAGAAAAATTATATAGTTTAATACATGTCAACATGTTTATTAAATAGTGCTTAACCTTTGTATTTATCAAATCAATTTCTTTTAATTCTAATTAATTGCGTATCTTGTTAGCAAAAACATTGTTTTTAGATGATATAAATAATCGATTTTTAAATATATTTCATTTTGGTGAGAAATAAATTAAATAATTAATTTTGAATCATATAAATACCCAGTATAACTTATAAGTATTGTATAAATATCTAAATATTTGTTATAAGTATAACTATTTTGTAACAAAATATTTACATCACCATGTATCAATATAATATTTATATAATTCTATTTTTCGCATTCTTTACTCGTATGTAAAACATTATTATACAAATAAAATTTTATACTTATAAATAATAATACTTTTTAATAAATTACAACGCGTATATTTTTAATTAATTATTTTATTTAGCCAAGCTCATTACATCGGAAAATGTGTGCGACGACGGGTCGGACATATTTCACGACGATTACTACGACATATGCTATAAATACTATTCAGGTGTCGCTGATTATCACAAAATGGTCATAGAGTGCAACGCTCTAAACGACTCATCCCTGCCCACCATAAATTCAAAAGCTGAGCAAGATTTTTTAATCAACATGATGATCAAATACAAAATGGTAGAGAGTGTATGGCTGGACGCCAGCATCAAAGACAAACACATTGTTTGGTCCGATAGGAGTAGTGGTGAATACGAGAACTGGATGTCCGGCCGACCCGTCAATAATGACAACTGTGTGGAAATGTTGGCCGACGAAGTGAATCGTGGTAAATGGGAAGATCAACCATGCACAAAGTTAAATGGCTACATATGCAAGCGTGTGGTAATGTGGTCGGATCAGGAGACGGCGCGTTTGATCAGGGACGAACGTAGAAGCCTGGATGCGGCGATTAGTAAAATCAATCAGATGGAAAAGGATCTAGGTGCCAAAATCACCCAGTTGGAACAGACCCAGGTGCCTATTGGCTTTTTATACGTACAACTGCCTGACCAGGCTGAACCCAAAACACTATGGCCCGCATACACGTGGTCCGATGTGACGGCCCAATACGCGGGTCAGTTTTTCCGGGCCGAAGGCGTCAAAAACGGTAGCCTAGAGTTTGGTAAGGGTGTACAGCCTGAAAACGCACCTAGATTATTGACTGTGGGTAATTCTGCTGTAAAAGGTAAAGATACATTTAATGTTGCACCTGGTGTGTGGAGTGAGTATCTGTATACAGGGGGAGCTAATGGTGATGCCAAACCACTTTCTATAAGGTTTATGGAAAGTGCCGGTGAAATACACCCCCGGAATCAAGCGGTGCGTTTGTTTAAACGTACCAAGTAATTAAACTATTAATTATGTAATATACGTTAACTTATCATAACTTTATAATTAATGTATTTTGAATATAATAATAATTATGTGAAATTAAAATGTTGCATTTTGTAAACGAGATAATATTTTTAAAAGTAATTTCCTTTGTTTAATAAAGATCATTCATATTAAATATTATTATTATGAAGAGCAATCATTTATAGCATGATTTAGCTTAACCCCTAACCCGCATCGTTAATAAAGTACGTATCGTGCATGGAGGCAGGATAAATAACGTAAGCGTTATGTGCATCGTGGCAGGATTATATAAAGGGACATATCGTGCACAGTGGCAGGTTTT